AAATTGTATGATGAGTCGGAAATAATTATGTATTATCATACTAAATACTGTATAAGAAAAAAGTAGATTTTTGGAGCCGGAAGAATTGCGAATGGAATTCAACATTGGCGTAAGTGAATATATTTAAGAACCTTTTAACATTTAATTTAAATTTATTTATGTTTATATTTATAATTAATTATGTTATATTTTATTTTTTAGTTTCCAAACAATTACGAAAAAGAAAAAAGATTGAAATTATAATATCACCAAAATTACCGAAATATCTAACAATGACAAATCAAGTTACCAATATATATCATTCAGAAAGGAATGTACCATTTGGTGGTAATTTAGGTAAAAGTTATTCAGAAATTTATGCTTGGGGTGCCAAGAATTTGAAGAACGTAATTAAGAATGAATGTAGTAAACATCGAATTAAATTTGACAACAATAATAATGATACTATTAACAATAACAATAATTATAAAAACAACTATAAAAATAATAATTATAATAATGATAATGATAAAGAAATATTTGGAATTTTTAGCAATAACAATAATTATCATAATAATAATAATAATTATAATTATAATAATAATAATTATAATAATAATTATAAAGGTTATAGTTATAGCAGTAATAGTTATAGCAGTAATAGTTATAGTAGTGTTATTATCAACAACAACAACAACAACAACAACAATAATAATAATAGTAAAAACAACAACAACAACAACAACAACAACAATAATAATAATAATCAAGAAAAAAGTAACAAGAAAAGTAAAAAATTATTAAGATTTGGAGGGAATGATCAAGAATGGGATGAAGTTGTTGATAAAGTTATTGATGAATTAAGTTCATATGGAGCTTATGATAAGATTCATAGATTTTGGGGAATTAAAATAGATGAAAATACTGGAAATATTGTAAATAAAAGTTTAAAAGATGGGGAGACTCTCGGAGTTATTAATGGTGTTAAAGTAATTGAAGTTTTGTAAATTATTATATATTATTATTATATATTATTTATGTATTGCATATATATAGATTATTATTTTATTTATTTATTTATTTATTATTAATATTTATCATGACAGATAAAATTATATCAATATCATCATTTTATTAAAATTACCATATTATTATTATTATTATTTTTATTGTATTATTAATGTTGTTATTTATTATTATTATTTTATTATTAGTTGATTATTTTATTAGCATTCATTACAACATAAAAAATTTTTTATTTGCATCACGTGCAATATTATTGTAGATTTCATATTCAAATAAAATATATTATATATATCTATAAATACTATAAATATTGTACTGTATATTTTATATTTATATTTTTGAGTTTTCAGAAAATATTCTATTACTTTAAAATTATACTCTAATTAAAGTTATACTCTAAAAACTCTAAACTACTTTATTTTTTTTTTAATTTTTAATCAATAAACTATTACTTAGAAGCACCACAAATGATAAAATAATTACATTCCAAAATATTACAGAATCATAATTACTTTTTGTAGCATTATTGATCTTATTAATAGAAGTATTAGTAGTAAAAGTACCAGTAGTATTAGTAGTATCAGTAGTATCAGTAGTATCAGTAGTACCAGTAGTATCAGTAGTATCAGTAGCACCAGTAGCAACAAAACTATTGCTAGAAGTAAGACTATTTTTTTTTGTTGTACTAGCAGTTTCAATATTATTATTTAAATTAGTAGAGGTGGTGACATTATTAGTAGTGGATGTTACTAAATGTCCAACTCCACCAGGATTTTTTCCAGATTCTGGTTTGGGCCCATCTGATACAGGTGGATAATTACCCTCAGAATCAGTAATGATAAATCGAGTACTCCAAGATGTAGATGGAGGTGAGGTTGAGGTAAATCTTAAAAAGTAGACTAATTAAAAAAAAAAAAATAAATAAATAAATAATAAATAATTAATAATTAATAATAATTTAATTATTATTCGCGAAAAAAAAACAATTTATATTAATTATATTAATTATATTAACTTGATATAATTTTACGTACTTTGACCAGCAGGTTCAACTTCGGGTACTGTCCAATCACAAGTTTTAAGAACAGCATTCACTGTGGCTATAGTTTGCAATGAGATTTGATTCAGATCGCTACCTGTCATCAATTCGATTAATACTTTTGGAAGTGACGATAATAATGGTTTATTTTTATCTTCTAACCAAGTTATTTTTGTTTGATCTCCTGGTTTCAATATTGAATCTCCGATAGGATAATTTGGAGTAATTGCTGATTGTACATGTTGAACTTCATTTAAAGTTATTAATAATAATAAACAAAATAATAAATTTAATAATATTATTGATTTCATATTTAATTAAATTAGTTGATAAATAAATGTATAAATTATTTAAATTATTTGGATATAGATTAAGGTGATTCGAGTAACTTTTTGGTTAAGCGAAAAATGACTGACGAGTGATGATCAGAAAATAATCGAAAAAGAATACCGTAACTTTTAAAATAAATGAGGAGAAAAGGATATTATTAGGGATGGAAAGGATAATAAGGATGGATAATAAGGAGGATGGAGAATAAGGAGGAGGATAGTTGGAAATTTAAGGATAGAAAGATAGAAGGATAGGATAGAAAGGATTGTTGGTATAGAAAGGATATAATTTTTTTTTTTTTTTAAAAAAAAAAAAAGAAAGAGAACAGAATTTTCGTTGGAATTTTTTTAATGATATATGTAAATTTTTCGAGTGATTGTATTAATGCATTATAACTTAATTACTTAATCTCGTAATATGTAAAAACGCGTACACCCAAATAAAATTAGAATGTACATATTTTATTACCCAGTAATCTACCTTCTACCTTCTTTATCAAATATAAAATGTATACACATTTTATATGTACGTATATATATCAATTATAAAATTTTGAATAAAGCTCGGATGATATCTTTTTAGGAGAATATCATCGCATTTTTATACATAAAATTCTAATTTATATCGACCTCATCTATTATATTTCGATATCTTTATATTGTTCATTTTACTATATCATTTTATTCTATTCTATTACATTCATTACATTCGCGAAATTCATTATCTACGATTTATGTTATGCAACTAATGCATTAGAAAATGTCACACATTTATTACATTAATTACATTTATTAATTGAAAATGATTTGACTTGACTGTGGTACTAACTACACAAACAATTTTCTTTTTTTCGAGCGAGATGTTCAACTGCTCCGACAAGCCATTTTATATTCTTTATTCATATATATTTAGAGAGAAAGATATATATACCTCTACCTCTATCTCTATCTCTGCCCGTTGTCTATGTCCGTATCTTAACAAGGGAGGAAGGGGAGAAGGTAAGAGAGATACCTTTGTCATTTACAAAAGAGAGAATTTGTGTTACAACCATCTTTATTTCTAAAATTATCTGATTACTTAACGAAAACACAAAAAAAAATCACATTATTTATAAATCACATCTCATTGTTATGCATAAACTTTTGATTGATTATTAATTGGGTAATACGGAAATTATAATTTAATAATAGATCAAGTTGAACAAATACCGAAGTGATGCGTCCGGAGCAAAAAAAAAAGGAAATATTATTATGATATTATGATATTAATTTGAATAATTTAAGATAATATGCTTACTAGGAATTTGTTTAACTGCTTGGTATTTTATTTCTTTTCAAAATTTTGGGTTTTCGCAAGACCTGAAAAATCAAGATATAAATTTCTTGTGGATGTGTTTGATAATTAAGTGGAGTTGTTGATCTTATTTCCACTAACAGCTGCAATTTTTTTCATTTTCATTATTATAAAACTTTTTTCTTATACAGTATTCCCAACTCATCATACAATTGAATGATTAAAATTTTTAACTCAAATTGCCTATTTGCAAATAATCTACAAATTATTCTATCTTTTTTTAATTAATAAAAATAAAATAAAAATAAAATAAACTTTTTTATAACATGAAAATAGTAATTAGGTAGCTATTTACTTGGAGGTTACAGCCAACATCATTAACCTGAACTGTTAAGTGAGTTTTCAAAATTTTGATTGTTTCATCTAAAAAGCAATTTATAGTGATTCTCATCTGCCTTTTTCAATCCTGAGTCAGGCTCTTTGGCCTCAACTAGGAATATGGGGTCACAACCTCTGCCTTGATTAATTTTGATTCTTTAAACTTTATCAGCCTTTGCTGATCCAAATTAGAGCTGACAAAAAGGTGATTGCGATTGAAAAGGCAATTGAGAGGAGGGGGATATTATTATATGTTTTTCTGCTCTGCTAAAGCTTTTGCGATATTACTCCTTGTATTATTAAATTATTTAATTTAGCCATCATTTAAATTATATATTGATTTGTAAGATTTAATCTCAATCTCCAAATACATTTGCTGTGTAATCCACTTAGCATAATATATGGTTGCAAATAATCTTTTTACACCTAATCTATCTTTGATCACTAAATTCTGCATTTGGATATCTATTGAATCAATTTTTACTTATCCATTTATCAAAAATTATTTTTGAAATTCAATTTTAATGTGTAAAGTAAAAGTTGAATATTATTATTTTTTTTTTTAAAAAAAAAAACGTTTTATATGTTTATATAAATATGACAATATGACGAAAAATGGTTAAACCTAATATGTAGAATTGAGTATATAAAAACACCGAATTTTGCGATAAAGAACTTTTAGAAGAAAAATGAATAGGAAAATAGGCAATTACTACTATAACTTCGGTCCTTGCTTTGATTAAAATAAAAATTAAATTATCTAGTTTGTAACAGTTTATTATACAATTAAATACCTAGTGTTAAGATTTTATAAAAATGCGATAATAAATATGTTTATAAAAATATTACTTAAATAAGGACATGAAAACTTAGGAGCAACTAGAAATAAATTAAAAATTTTTTTTTAATTATACAAAAATAAAATGTATAAAGAACAAAATTAAAGCGGAAGTAGATTTTGTTAATTTGTCAAGTTTTTCTTCATTCTTAGGTTTTGGAAGACTAAAATTTTCTTGATAATAGGGATTTATTATTAAAACTTTTTTAAAGACATTCATTCATTATGGTAATTAGCGAAATGGAATTTTTGGTCGTATTTGTTTGGCTAATTAATTAAATCAATAGTTATTTCTCATCAAATGTATGATATTGTTCATTGTTACTTTATTTACTCTTTAATTTTTT